CGTGCCCAAGATCCCGAGAGGAGAATGGAGAAGGGATTGTGGAGTAACCATCCCCCCCCGGGGGGTGATTTTTCGCTTTCTGTCTCTCTGTCTCTCTCTGTCTGTCTGGTGAGCGCACGCGCCCTATAGCAAAAACCTCTCCAAAAAAAAAAAAAAAAAGATTAAAAAAAACACATAATGTACTTTGCATAATTTCAGTTTTTAAATTCTTGTCAATGTTTGTTTTACAATCTAAGATACAGCCTATTTTACTCTATGTGCACTAAAAAAAAGGTGTTTTCTGCTGTCGTTGGGTAGAGAGCTCCATAACTGTTGAGTATATCCAGAAAACACTGATTAAGAGGTGTAGTTCTATTCCTCTATACTCTTACTGAATTTTAAGTGAACAGTTTTATCCATGCCTGAGAGGAAACTGTTGAAGTGTCCAGCTATAATTGTGGATATGTCTATTTCCCCTTTTAGTTTTGTCAGCTTTTGTTTTACATATTTCGAAGCAATGTTAGGCACATACACATTTAAGATCGTAATGTTTTCTTGGAAATTTTATCCTGTTCATCATGATGTGATATCATCTTTATTCCCCATACATTTCTTTCCTCTGAAGTCAACTTCATTTGATTTCTTTTTTTTTTTTTTGAGAGGTTTTTGCTATAGGGCGGGTGCGCTCGCCAGAAAGACAGAGAGAGACAGAGAGACAGAAAGCAAGAATTCACCCCCCAGGGGGGATGGCCATGCTGCAATCCCTTCCCCTCCATTCTCCTCTTGGGATCTTGGGCACGCATGCACATGTACCCAGAGTGAGTTTAAGCCACCAGGTCCAGGGCTCAAACCGCGGTCGACTGCATGGGAGTCCAGCAGCATAGCCATTACACTAACTGTTGGTCCCTTCATTTGATGTTAATATATGTATTCCAGCATTTCAAAATTAATGTTCATATATTTACACTTAACCTTTTACATTAAATTATATATATCATTGCATCTGAAATATGTGTATTAGAAAGGGATATCTGTAACCATCACTGAGCCATTTAAAAACACGTGTGGTAGTAATCTCTTCCTTGTAATTATTGTGTTTAGGCATTTTACACTTAATATAATTATTAATGTATTTGAATTTATGTCTATTATGATATTATTTGATTTCTAATTATTTTCTCAGTGTTTTGATCCTGTTTTTTTTTTTTTTTCTCTTCTTTTGGGTTATTTAACCTTTCTTTTATCTTCTTTTGGGTTATTTAACCATTTTGATGATTTCATTTTAAAAATTGTTGTGGTAAAAACACTTATCATGGGATCTTTCCCCTTAACGAATGTAAGTGTACAATACGCCGTTGTCGACTCTAGGTGCAATGCGACACGGCGGATCTCTGCCGTCTTAGCTGGGATCTTATGCCTGTTGATCAATACTAGCCCATTTACTCCAGCCCCCCGCCCTGCCAACCACCATTCCAGTCCTTGACTTTCCGAATTAGACTATTTTTGGTGTCATCATATGTAAGTGGAGACATGCAGTATTTGTCCTTCTGTGTCCCGTTTATGTCAGTGCGATGCCCTCTGGCCCCATCTGTGTCGTGGCAGACTGCAGAAATTTCTTTGTAAAGGCTGAATAATATTCCATTGTCTAAGTTTTAGCAATGTGGAAATTTTTGTTGTTGTTATTTATTTGCTTGTCTTAGTGGTTACCCAATGGTTTACAATATAGCATATTATCGGGGCCAGCAGATGGACTGACGGTTAAGGCACTGGACTCCCATGTGGCTGACCATGCTTCCAGTTCCAACCTGGTGACTTGAAACTCACACCAGGCATGTGTATGTGCATGCTCCAAATCCCGAGAGGAGACCGGAGGAGAAGGGATTGTGTATGACCATTTCTCCCGAAGGGTGATTTCTCATTTTCCCTCTCTCTGTTTCCCTTAGGCAAAATGCACAGGCCCCATGGGAAAAATAAATTTAAAAATTAAAAACAAAATTTATATAACATACTATCATTTTCACATTCTACTTAATCAATAGTTTACCATTTCAAGTGGTACCTTACCACCATCTTGGCCCCCACCAGCCCTCCTCTATGTCGTAGTTAACGTATGCATTCCATCTTCCCTGATTGAAAATGTCCACATTTTTGGCTTTCAACAAATTGTATCTTGCTTTCAATATCACGTTATGCAATTCAGGCGTTGTTGAAATCCTATGTAGAATGTTATTTTCATTTTAGGAGATCACTGATCCAGTTGAATAAAGACCCACACTTTATCAACCTGTGGTTTTGGTGTCAGTCAGTTTCATTCATTGCCTGTGGACCTGCCTCACATAGACACCTTCCACTGGTCAGCCCGGGATTCAGGAAGTGGTCTGCCCTGGCCTACCTAATTCAAGTCCCAGCATTTGGGATACTCCATTCAGGGCTGGGGTCCTGCATGTTCAGCTTTCAGATGAGCTCATAAGTTTCTAAACAATGTCATGGACTCTCTTTCCCCTCTGCCGTCTCCGGGGCACTGTCTGGTCCCCCCACTCGTCCTGTTCGCAGTTTTCTCGCCAGAGTGTTGGGACCTGAAAAGCCCACTCTGCAGGACACTTGTCACAACTGCTTCTACTTCCACAGCCAGAGGGTAAGGTGACAAAGAGAGAACAAAGAAAAGAAAATGCTCCCCACAGGCGTGGGGAACTGCAGTGCCAGGGCCCCTTAGTGCTGCTTTTATTGTCACCACTGTTGCCAGCAAGGGCCTGCCTAGGGGCTGGCAGCGAAGGAGCACTGAAAGACGCAGTGGGGAGAGTTAGGAACCCTTTCTCAGTCTCAGCGCCGGAGCAGCAAGGATCCTTCTAGAGTTCTCCATGTTATCACTCAGGTCCACTGCTGGGTTTCAGCTCCGCAGAGACTAAGTCAGAAAATATTGAAAGAAAATACAGAACTCTGAATTCTTGTCCAGTCTTTTGTTTGCTTTCTGGAATCCTCACATTGAATTTCTATGCGTTTTATTTGGGGTTTGTAACTGCAATGAGAGGGACAGGTGGGGTGGTGTGTGTTTACTCCCTCTCACCTGGAATTATAACCTGAAATAGTAGAGGTTGTAAATATAAGGATGAGAGCCCAATGGAGACCACAAACTTGGTGTTACCTGCCCAAGCTATAGGACTGGGGAAGGGGCAACGTACAGCGTGTGTTAGGGGTAGCAGGCCTTTCTCCAAATCAGGACAGTTTGTTTGTGTTTGCTCTAGGGCATGTGCACCCAGGAGAGGGTCAGAGACAGAGAGTAAGGGAAAAAACATCTCCAAGAAGGATGGCCACACCGCAATCCCTTTTCCTCTATCCCTGTCTTGGGATTTGGGGCACGCATGTGTATGTGCCTGGCATGTTTTTCAAGCCCCTGGGCCTGGGACTTGAGGTGTGCAGTCAGGCATGTAGGAATACGGTGCTAAAACTACACCCCAACGGTGGGTCCGGGAGTTGTTCAGAGAGCACTCTGAAAATTAGACGGGACAGAGGTGTAATTTTGGAAAAAGAACACACGGCCACTTATTTAAAAGCAGTGGTGAGAAAATAAAATCTTTTTCTAATGATACTCCACTGAGTCAGGTGGTTTAATGACACTCAGTCTCCTATCCATAGAGCAACTGTTTGGGTCATCTACTTAGTTCTGGCTGGTTTCCAAGTGAGAAATAGCCCTCTGCCCTGAGTGCTCATTTGCCATTGTCAGCATACTGACTAACCTGGCAAAAGCGATTCTGTAAACGTTCGAGCTAGATATTCCTCTTTCTGTGTATCTGCTGACCTGAGGCTTGCTCTGTAAAGCTGAGGACAAGCCCTGGACCGCTGACCGGCTCAGTTGGAGCAGTGTCTATCTTAGAACACAAGAAACCTGGATGAACTCGGCCAAAAGAGGCTTCTGAGTCTTAGATCTCGGCATGGCTGGCAGGAAAACGTCACCATGGCACACTGACAGTGCGGTTCCTCCCCGCTGAGACCCTGCAATGATCCTTCCCACAAGAGACTTCCTCCGGGGATAATTTATACCCTTCACCTCCTCTTTAACTTTATCACTGACATTTCCAACAAGGATGCTGCGAGGTGCCAAAGCCACAGTGGTTTTTATGATGTGGGCATCTCTGGGAAGGGAGAGCAGAAGAGCATTGCTCACGGGCAGAGGAGCGGCCAGGCGATGGAGACTTGAATCCCCTCTGAATTCGGATCCCATTCACATGGGCGGATGGGACACATGATGTCTGGATGAACCCAGAAGTTGCCCCAAAGACGAAGCGTTTCTTTCCGAGAGGGGAGACAGAGAGTGAAGGTCTCAAGTTTCACATCGCGTGTGACTAGAAAGTTAGCAGAAGTGCGCATGAAACTCTCATCTAGACAACACATCCACAAGGAAGCTAGCCTTGTCTCTTGGGACCGACCACCTGGTCTTTACTCATGCATCGCCCTGCTCCTTACGAGGACGTCCCTGAGACCGTGGGGTCAGGGAGCACTCACAGGAGGGGCGGCCTCGGCAGGCGGCAGGCTTAGACCAAAGCTCTCTACGCCTCGGTACTTGCTGTCTTTTAGCCAGCGGGGACACTCACCCCTAGATCTCTGTGTGGCTGCTGACTCTTGCCACCCTCTTCCCACTCTGCGCTGCTAGAAGGAGCTGCTAGTCTGTGCCTTGCCTTCTCATGAGCCGAACAACATAGGAGCTGTCTGTTCCTACGGCCCACGGCCCAGGGTAAGGCTGCAGACTTTATGCCCCATACAAAGCTCTCTGAACAACCCAATGAGGAGGAACCAAAATGAACCCTCCTCTTCTCCCCAAACCAACCTCCTGGCATAGACTGTACCAGCCCAGAGGAAGAGGAGTCTGCGTCTAGGGCAGGTACCTCCCCAGGGACCCAGGAAGACTAACCACGGCCCTGTCTACTCTGCACCCTGTTGGCCACTACATTTCATGGGTTACTTTCTGTGCTCCAGCCTTGATGGGTAAAAGAGCTGTCTTCTTTACAGAAATGCTTTAGACAGAGTCTCAATCACTCAGTTTTAATTAAATAGTATTTGTCTGACAGCAAAAATACATAGAGCTGTACATTCAGCAGACAGTAGACACAGAGCTCATCACCACAGGGGAGGGGCTACTGCTTCTCTCCTCGGGCCCCTAAGGACGTCGAGGGGGTATGGAGGGCTGAATGCACACAGAGCTCCGGGAATTCACTCTCTCCGTCTGTTCCAGAAACCAAAGACAACCTAAGTTACAACCTTTGTCTCATTCCAGCACCTGCCCACCAACCTCTCTCCCTGCAGCCTGCAGGCGAGGGAGGCTTACTGGGTTCTTTTCCCCATTCCCTGGACTGGGAGCTCCTCCCAGTGGTTCCTGCTTACCGAGTCTTTTTGGGAAAACAAAAACAAAAACAAACAAAACAAAAACAAAAACAAAAAGCCCTCGAGGTCATTCTGAGCTGATTCACGTGAGTCCTTTCGAGGTTTTCACTGGCATGTGGTATCGCATTTGGGTCCAGAACCTGGAACTGGGCGTTACTGATTTTAAGCCTCTCCAAGTGACTATGGGCAAAACCCGGAGAGCTTTTCTCACAAGATGAGGTAGAGACTCTGGCTCCGGAAAGGGGCAGAACTTAATCAAAATTAGTTTCAGCGTCCGGTCAGCTAAAGCAAGATTCACTGCTGCTTGGAGTTCAAACACACTGGGCCCGCTGACGTAGCTGGGGCTCAAGATAAAGATTCCTCTTCTGCTTTTCTTAATAATACTCACAATGTCTTCCGCATATGCTGGAAAAGAAAGAGTTCAATGATTCGCAACTGGTATTGGTACACCTTGAGTCCCAATTACCTTGACTCTCCCAGATCTGCCAGAGAGATTCTCGCAATGGCTACTCTTACTTAGAGAGAATGTGGACATACTTTACTCCATCGCTCTTCTGTACCAACTCTGCTGACGACTGGAGATACATGCTAGTGTCTCGTGACCTCCACTGTACGTTCCTCCCCTGTGTCCTGCCTCCCCAGATGTTCCATTTCTCTGGACAAAGCTCCCTGTAACTAGGTCATCAGGGTCATGGAACATCCCAGCCTCCTCGGTGGTGGTTTCTGAGGCAGAGGAAGTCAGTGGAGCAAGCTGAGGCCTGAATACTTCAGGACGGCCAAGGCTGGGCCTGGTAGCCATTGAGTAGCCATTGCGAGAATCAAGAAGTCTAAGGAGACTTCTTGACTCAGCACTAAGGTTTGTGGAGGGCAGAGTCCCAGAGCTCAGGGGCAGGGTGGAAGGAGGAACTGTTTGGGATCCAGAGACTAGTGGCCTCCCGGGTCAGAGTCAGCATCTGGGTCAGATCTCTTTGTTCTGGGAGAGCTCTCTCAGGCCCCATGTGATTTTTCTCTTCTGAAGATGGACTGGCGTGTAAAAGTAGGATGATGGAGCTTTCTGTGGGGTTATCCTTGATGTTCTAAGCTCATGAACCCTCCCCAAAGATGTATTTCCCCAAACAAAGAAGACAAAACAAATTTAGAGCTTGCATTGAAGTCCCCATTCTGTTCTGTACTTGTTTTCTGGGCATGAGGGACCTACCCCCTCCTGGGGCCACATCTCTTTCAAGCAAACACAAGGTATATCCGTATTTGTTTTCCAGAACTTCAGGGAATAGATTCAGGGCCAAGTGCTCCTCAGTCAGAGATGAAGTGGTCTCACTCTCAAAAGAGCTCCATTTTGCATAGGATATGAACGCATCAAACTCCTTTTTATCTGAGAGAGAGAAACAATGAAGACGTAAGCCATGCCCCCTTTTTTTTAGTACCAAGGTACACACGCATATGACTGAAGTATATAATAAATGGGTAAGACATAATATTTGAGGTCCTTACAAAATTCATTTGAAAAAAAAAGCTGCATTTTTTATTTCAAAATGACACGGCCGAGTAGCATTGTCCAAATTGAGTTTTAGGATAGGAAACACTGTGTATTCTCGCCGAGGTTAGATCAAACAGCTGGGCCTTCTGTGATTAAATCACATGTGCCCGGGAGTTCCTCCGAGCTCCCTCTGCATCTGCAGTGTTTCTGCCTCATTAGCAACATCAAAGAGGAGCCTGCTCCCTCAGAGCAGGAGAGTATCCAATGAGCCACATTGCTCAGGCTGCACATGTCACCTATGGGGAAAACGAACACAACAGAGAACTCCCCCTGGGGGCCAGGCGGTGGGCAGTGGGAGCGTGGCTGCTCTATGTGGGGAAGACCCTGTGACCACACGTCAGAGCTTCCCTGAGCCTCGTGGGTACATGTGCAAGTCCATGACCCAGGCTGGCTAAGACCAGGGCCTGGATCATGGCATAATGACCCCACTGAAGTGCCTCTCTCTCTCTCAAAGCAAAACAAAACAAACAAAAACAAAAACAAAAACAAAACTTTAAAAAAGAAAAAGGAAAGGACCAGCAGATGGCATAATAGTTGTGTCACTCGCACATATTCGACAGTGGTTTGAATCCCGGGCCCAGAGGATTAAACCACGTCGGGTGCGTTTGTGCGCATGCCCAAAGTCCGGAGGGGAGAATGCAGGAGAAGGGATTGGGACATGGCAATCCCCCCGGGTGAGTGTGTGTGTGTGTGTGTGTGTGTGTGTGTGTGATTGCTTTTCTCTCTGTCTTTCCAGCCTGCACACACATCCTACAGCAAAAATCTCTCTTTAAAATAAAGAGAAAAAAGAAAAGAAAAAGTACTCCCATCCTCCCACAGAGAAGAGTAACATATACCTAACTTAGAAACTGTGAATCCCCTAATGTAGCATGAGGATGATGCTCACGCCCAGGAAGCTGCTCTAAGGGCTGCGTGACATGAAGGGCCTGGTGCCTGTCTCGTGGCACGCAGAGATAAACGGGTATTATAGAACTTGTTTAGGATAGTCGAGAGGGCTCCTTTGTCTCTGTTGACTATATTCATGAATGCACATTGATTCCTGGGACATGATAAAGGACTAACCGGAAGAGGGAGAAAATCCCAGACGCCGGCCCATCTGGTTCATATTCAGACACGTCCCTCAACCTGCCACACAGCATGGCTGGGAAGGGGGGAACAACAGTGCTGGCT